TGTGTGGGTAAGCGAGACGGTGTGTGGGTAAGCGAGGTGAATGTGTGGGTAAGCGAGGTGGTGTGTGAGTAAGTGAGGTAGTGTGTGAATAAGTGAGCTAGTGTGTAAGTAAGGAAGTGTGTAAGCAGTGTGTGAACAACAGGCGTGTAGTAAAGGTGTGTCAGTAAGAAGTAAATTTAACCAACTACACTAGCTCCGTCCCTTTTTCTTTTCATTGGTTGCCATACTTTGCAATCATCTCTGCTCCAAGTTCTGTCACTCGGTGCTCAAAAATTAAATCGAGATTCAGGAAAAGTTCAAAAGTTTGCTTTCCTACTGGAAACTGAAACATGGACATTCAAACAGATTACCACCTTTAACAATCTGTAGCTCGTGTCCAGAAAAAAGTGTACAAACAACATCAGAAGTTCCCTGTGGAAGAACCCTTAAAGGTTCTATGTAGCACCCTACAAAAAGTGGTTCCCTATCTTCTACATAGAATCCTTATGTAAACATGGGGTAAAATTAAAAGAAATAGAAAAAACATTCTATTTTTTTTTTCTGGATATGAGATTGTAATTGAACTCACATGACTCTAACCTGATCTTCCGATCTTCATTTGTAAGACGTTTGTGCAAATTTGCAAGGACTACAAACTGCAGTATTAATGCCAACCAGTGTTTTTACATGGCCTTCAGTGTATACTAATTACAGCAGTGTGAATAATTTACAGCACAGTGATAAAAAATTCAAGCTGAATGATGGAGGCTTTACATTTGGGGAGTTTTGGACGGTTTCTCCAAGGACTTTATTTGCTCTGAGAGACAGAAATGGTCGAAATTATAGATTAATGTAATGAGCTTAAAGTCTGTTTGGATGCAACAACTGGCTACAAAAGAATACTGATACATGAAATGAGATTGATAGACAGTAGAAAAAGTGCTCTCTATCTGTCCAGGCTAGCTAGTTGGCTATTTATCTAATTAAGTGCTGTTTGGCGATTAGTGTGATGTTTTATTTATTATTCGCTCTCTTTGTTTGTCTAATGATGTCCGCACGCACGCACACACACACACACACACACACACACACACACACACACACACAGAGAGAGAGAGTTCAAACACTCCTTTTTTACCAGAGAATCCAGCCGTGTCCTCCCGTGCTTGTTTTTGAAGAGTAATGACATTAGCCGTGTCATTAGTCTATTCCTCCATCTCTCCACTCCTCCTTGGTCCTCAGTCCTGGTCACTCCATTCTTTCCTTGCCGTTCTCTTTGGGTCATTACTCAGCTCAACATGCTGCTTTCTCAGGAGGTTTAGCATCCAGACATGATTGTGTAGGCCAAAGTAATTACACACAACAAGGCAAAATTGGGTGCTGTCCCTCTCTATCACCCCTCCTTCCATCTCACGTTCTATCTCTCTTTCTCTCTACATCTATTTCTCTCCACTCTCGTGCTCGTTTATCTTCCCGGGATATATTTCAGATGGATGAAGCCACTCTGCATGCTTTGGGCTATAATCTCTGTTCTCCACTGGGCCTGCTGGTCACTCTACAGGAGGGAAACAATTATACTCACAAATCTCTCTCTCTCTCTCAAACACTTGTACACACACACACACACACACACACACACACACACACATACATGTTTTGTTCTCTGCTCCAACCTCTTCTGTTATCTCTTCATTGTGCAATAGATTATTTGTACTTTTCTTTATTGACATTAAACACTCCCGGGCAAAAAAAAAGGGCCAAGCCCCAAATGGCAAATATTAGGTTTTTAATGGTCTTAACAACAAATCATTGCTGAGAAAATTAGCAAAAAGACTGAAAGAGAAAAGACTGAGGCAGTGGTGAAGAAAGCCCACCAGTGCCTCTTCTTCCTCAGACAGCTGAGGAGGTTTGGTATGAGCCCCAGCATCCTCAAATCATTCTACGCCTGCATCCTGACTGGCTGTATAACCGCCTGGTAGGGGAACAGCACCGTCCTCAACGGCACAGCTCTACAGAGAGTGGTGCAGACAGCCCAGCACATTGTCTGAGGAGAGCTTCCTTCCCCCCGAGACATCTACAGCAGGCGGTATGAGAGAACAGCACGGAGGATAATCAGAGACTCCAGACACCTGAGCCATGGACGGCTCTCTCTTCTACCATCAGGCAGACGGTATCGCAGATCCTGCACAGGCATGCTGCAGGACAGCTTCTTCTTGCAGGCCATCAGGCTGTTCAACTCTAACTAATAACACCACCACAAGCACAACCCAATCTACCTTCCATGCACTGCACTTTATAGCTTACATTTACACTGGACTCTGACTGATATATAGACTGATATCAGACCCTAACTGATAGTGCTGCAGTGTGTCTCTTGTGCTGCTCAGCAGAGCATACATTCCTGCAATGTTAATTTCACTATCATCATTATTCTGTACTCCTTGACATTCCATTTGCACTACTGCATACTGCGCTGCTCACCTGCACACTGTATACCAATACTGTGTACGTGTGCTGTGCATTGAGACCTATGTGTATACTGTATTATGTGAATACTGTACATTTTGTACAGGTGTTTTTTTGTGTATGTTGTGGTCTGTATACTTGTATTTTAGTAGTAGTAGTAGTGTTGTGTAGTGTAGGGTGGATTTCCTTCTTATTTCTCTCTTTTTCTTTCCGTATCTTATAGTATAGCTATGAAGCATGGTGTAGGGAGGTGTACAAAATCATTTGCTTTTACATTTGTGTTGGTTTTGTGATTTTCTTTCAAAGTTAATCTATAAATAAAACATGTTATTGTAATCGATTATTGGGGTCCCTGGTGGACTTGTGTTTAGGCCACAGCGCTCTCACCACTGTGGCCTGGGTTCGATTCCTGGCGACCCCAGCCGCTGGGGTTGCATGCAACAGAGCAGTCTCAGTGCCGGTCCCAAGCCTGGGTGAAACTGGGAAGGGTTGCATCAGGAATGGCGTAAAAACTGTGCCAAATCAAATATGCAGACAACGATCTGCTGTGGCGACCCCGAACGGGAACAGCCAAAAGAATAGGAACAACAACAACATTATAGTTGATTATTGCTGAAAAGGCATTAATGGCAGGGATAATAATAATATCAACAATACTCTACATGCACAGAAACAGCACTACATACTGTGTGTGTGTGTGTGTGTATGTGTGTGTGTGTGTGTGTGTGTTTGGCCATACAGTTGTAATGGTAGCTCAGGGGGGTGATTATTTATGTGCACTTAAGCTTGAGAGCCTGGGCTTCATGTAATTCACTGGAAGAGGATCATTGGAATTGCAAATCGCTGCTGAACACACACACACACACACACACACACACACAGACACACACTGGGCTCAGACCGGTGAGGGTTTAGCCAGATGCAGTTTGTCCCTGAAGCAGAGAGAGTTGACATCTGGGCATCAAGCCAGCAGCCAAAAGACAAGTGAGTGTGCGCACACACACACACACACACACACACACACACACACACACACACACACACACACACTCACTGGCTCCTCTGTGGATCCTCACATCTTGTATCATGCCTGTTTGTCATTTAGTGCTTTTGTTTTTTATTTGTTTGCTGGTTCTCTCTTCTTCCTTTCTGTCTGTCTGTCGGTCTCTGTCTGTTTCTTTGCCTTTGTCTCTCTCTGTCTCTCTCTGTCTGTCTCTCTCTGTCTGTCTCTCTCTCTCTGCTCTTCCACAGTTTTAAGTATCAAATGGGATTTGATGCCAGCTAGAAAAGTTGAAGTTGCCCTAGAAAGGCAGCAAGTGGACGGCATGATATAAACCATTTTCCCTTAGAGTGAGAGAGAGATGGAGAGACAGACCGAGAGACAGAAAGACAGAGAGAGAGACAGAGAGAGAGAGAGAGAGAGAGAGAGAGAGAGAGAATTTCTTCATTGCTCTAAATCTTTCTGTCTCCAGCTGTCCTCTGTTCTCGCTCTGTCCATCTCTGTCTCAGTGGTTAATGGGAATGAAATGGGCTCGCCTGTGGGGTGTGTGTGTGTGTGTGTGTGTGTGTGTGTGTGCGTGCGTGCGTGCGCGCGCGCGCACACACACACACACACACACACAAATCTTTTATAGAATAATAATTATGCTTCACAAATCGCACTCGGTTAGTGCCAGAAACCACTTTTGAAGAAATCAGACTTCAAATAGAGATAAATGATATTTACACACTGCTCAAAGTTTAAATTATTATTATAATATTCATCTCTCTCTCTCTCTCTCTCTCACACACACACACACACACACACACAGATGAACAGTGGGGATATAATCAGTAGCAGGGTTGCAGATCAGCCTTAGTGTGACATTTAGGGGACTTTATTATTAACTCTATTAAGTCTCTATGATTACTGCCCTCCCTGGAGATGGCGTCTACTAATATACCATTTCTTCATAAAATAACAGAATAAATCTGTATTAAAAATGATCTCTATCACTTTTACTGCACAAGCCCTGCCGTTAGACTTCAGGCCACGCCCCCTACCTGAGTCTGATACTGAGGAAGAAAGTGATTTTTGCTGTAACTGTTTTAATCTCTGAAGTCATTTTGTCCTTGTTTATTCATCTGTTTCATGTGACGTCACTGTGTGACTGCGCTGCCATTTTACTGACCGAAAAATTCATAAATAATATGTCTTGGGGCGCAACAATAGCTGTCAAAAAATAAAGGTATTCAGTTCTACTCCTTTCCAAAAGATGCTGATCGCTGAAGCAGATGGTTAGCAGCAGACAAGGGAGAAAACTGGATCCTAAGACAACACTCTTCTCTGTAATAAGCACTTTATATTGGTAAGTTGGCTGGCTAGTCACATTGGCTAAGAAAAAAGAAGCCACATATACATTACTATACCGTGAAATAGTGCTAAAAGTGAAATCCAGTGAGAAATACTGATTTCAGCTAGGTGGCTATTGCTACATCCTCTAAGATAAATAAATGCCTGTCTGTAGAGCTAGTAAACTAACAGTGAGCATTATATGAAATTGTAGGCTTAGGAA